AAAAATAATTAACAAACTCATTTGTTAATTACTAAACCACTCTCGTATCGCTACTCTCGTCCGAGACTCCATCCGAGACTGCTTTCAGCAATGTTTAAGGAACCTTCACATACCCCGTCCACCGATAGACGCTCCAAAAATGTTTTTCTTGCTACTCAAAGCCCCTCTAACTAATCGGAAATGATTGAATAATTAATTTGCCAATTACTTAACCACTCTCGTATCTCTTCTCGTCCGAGACTTGATCCGAGACTGCTTTCAGCAATGTTTAAGGGACCCTCAATTACCCTTTCTACCTACATTGGGTCCACAAAGGATTTTCAACTTATCTAATGCACCCTCAATTAATAAACAAATTGATTTGTGAAGGCATAAACAACTCTCGGATGCACTCTCGGACGAGAGTCTTTACTGGAGTTTGGCGCCCTAACCTCCGAAAATCGAAGAGTCGAATGGGTGTCCATTCCGAGTGTCGGAGCTACTCTCGGATAGGTCTCGGACTCATCCGCCAGGGTAATTATTCATTTTTGGATATATATAATCGATTTTTAATGTATGAAAAATGGCATTCCAATAGCCCGCGACTTTTAAAACTCATAGTAGTCTCACCTTAAGGTAATATGTGTTAATTTCAATAATTTATACATAAAAAATCCATGGTTGATCAGTACAAACAATAATATAAATTGCAAAAAAGTCGCTCTCCATCGTGAGGCCTAGTGTCTCAAGAATGTGATGTGGTGGGGTATTTCTGGAATTTGCACACACAGTTCCGATATTATTCAGTCGTGTTTTGGTGTTGTAATGAGTTGACTAACCGGGACGAGTGTCGAGTTGTTATTTGTGTGGTGATTTGGCTTTGCTTCAGGACTGAAAATTATTTAACATCTTTCTGATAATAAAATCCATAGAAGCAGAAGTAACTAATTCTGATATCTTATATATCGAAATCGTAATAACAGACAAGCGTGTCTACATAGGGAACTCATAGAACTTACATTTGTCTGTTATTAAGGTGTCGATATGGATTTTCATTGATTGATCACAACATCTATAAGCATAATAGTTATGAAGGTATGCAGGGTGTTTTTGAACTACTAATAAACCGCGCGTCTAGTGATTTGAGTCCCCTGAACACAGGAAAAATGCGAAATAGTATATTTCGTTACGAGTGCGGAAAAGAGTTTTTCATCACGCTGTGACGAAAAGTGAAAAGTGAACAATTTCCGCCACATTGTGATGAAAAATATTGTTCGTCACTCGTGAAAAAATGTTTTTTAGCTCGTGGGATTATATCACTCGCCTTCGGCGCGTGATATAAACCTCCCACTCGCCAAAAAACATTTTTTTGCACTCGTTACGAAATATACTATTTTGGCTCGTAGGAGGTTTATAGCACGAGCCGAAGGCGAGTCAAAGAACACTTTTCCCAGGAGTATCGAACGATATTTTTCATCACCATGTGTGGAAAAGGGACGTTTTAGGGACGCGAAGCGTGCCTAAAAAGTTTGGAATACCGCTTCGCGTCCCTAAAACGTCCCTTTTCGCACAGCGTGATAAAATAGTTATTTTCATCACAAGGTCCACAAAGTATTTTCTGACGAATGTGGCTTTGTATATATAACCACATTCGTCAGAAAATACTTTTGGACCGTGTGATGAATGCAATTTTTCGTCAGAAGGCCCGTAAACCGCGATCAAACCGAGCGAAGCGAGGTTAGAATCGCGGTTTACCGGGTCTTCTCACGAAATAGTATATTTCAGCACATGTGGGGCAATATCGTCTTTAACGTGTGTGGGGTTTACAGCATGAGCCGAAGGCGAGTGATGTAACCACACACGTTAAGGACGAAATTTCCCAACAAGTACTGAACAAAATATTATGTCACGAAGCCTGAAACCGGCTGAATTAGACACGAGACGCGAAGCGTCGAGTGTGTAATCCAGCCGGTTTCAGGCATGAGTGGCGTAAATAGTATATTTCGTAACGAGTGCAAAAATTTTTTCACGAGTAACGAACAATATTTTTCATCACAATGTGGCGGAAATTGGACTTTTAGGCACGCGGAGCGTGCGGAAAAGTTCACTTTTCGTCACAGCGTGATGAAAAAATTATTAAATCAATTCGCGATTACCACGTAGATGTGGGAGACACCAAGTGGTCTGTAAACTAACTACTCTTGGGCGGCAACCAATGAGATCCCTCGGAGGGAACCAATGATGGAGCTCAACCAATGAGATCACTGGATTCTCTTTAATCTCATTGGTTGCCGCCCAAGAGTAGTTAGTGAAGAGACCACTAGATGGCTCCCACATCTACATTGCGTTCGCGAATAGTTTTTCCTATTTATTAAAGATGAAAGAAACGTGAAGTTGTTTTATATCTATATATCTCGAAACTGCCTGATCGCTAATCCTCAGTTGACCTGATTGGTCAATGACTCATGTGAAGTAGTCGCTGCAAAAAATCCCCGGTATTGTCAAATTCTTCAAATGTCCAAAAATTTTTTATGTCGCGCCGTGCAATAAGTCGAGTTTATCGCACGCTGCGCTTCGCGCAGCCTTCTCAACATTCGACTTCTGCATGACTTGACATAAAATATTATAGAGCACTCGGTAATAAATTTCGTTTTCAACGAATGTGCGTACAGACCGCGCCTTCGGCTTGGCCTGTAAACTACACATTCGTTGAAAACGAAATTTGTGCCCTTGTACTCTAATGTACTATTCTGCGTCATATTTTTCTTNAAATAGTATATTTCGTAACGAGTGCAAAAATTTTTTCACGAGTAACGAACAATATTTTTCATCACAATGTGGCGGAAATTGGACTTTTAGGCACGCGGAGCGTGCGGAAAAGTTCACTTTTCGTCACAGCGTGATGAAAAAATTATTAAATCAATTCGCGATTACCACGTAGATGTGGGAGACACCAAGTGGTCTGTAAACTAACTACTCTTGGGCGGCAACCAATGAGATCCCTCGGAGGGAACCAATGATGGAGCTCAACCAATGAGATCACTGGATTCTCTTTAATCTCATTGGTTGCCGCCCAAGAGTAGTTAGTGAAGAGACCACTAGATGGCTCCCACATCTACATTGCGTTCGCGAATAGTTTTTCCTATTTATTAAAGATGAAAGAAACGTGAAGTTGTTTTATATCTATATATCTCGAAACTGCCTGATCGCTAATCCTCAGTTGACCTGATTGGTCAATGACTCATGTGAAGTAGTCGCTGCAAAAAATCCCCGGTATTGTCAAATTCTTCAAATGTCCAAAAATTTTTTATGTCGCGCCGTGCAATAAGTCGAGTTTATCGCACGCTGCGCTTCGCGCAGCCTTCTCAACATTCGACTTCTGCATGACTTGACATAAAATATTATAGAGCACTCGGTAATAAATTTCGTTTTCAACGAATGTGCGTACAGACCGCGCCTTCGGCTTGGCCTGTAAACTACACATTCGTTGAAAACGAAATTTGTGCCCTTGTACTCTAATGTACTATTCTGCGTCATATTTTTCTTTTTTTTTATGTGTGAAGTTTATCTTTATAGCAAAACATCTAAATTGCCTAATTGTTGATCATGAGAAAAAAAACAGTATTTCTAAATTTTTTTCACTCACAAATTATTCCTCACTTCCCAAATTTTAATTTTTTCATATTTATCATATGCAAAAATCATCATTCTTCGGTTTTCCAAATAATTCGAGAAAAATTTTTGAAGATTTACGGTTATCTAGAAAATTGTGAAATTTTCCGAAGAATTCAAGAACTTTTTTCAGTTTTCTAGAAAATCAATTTATAACCCTCCCCTCATTTTTCAACCATTACAGATCTTAATCAGATTATTTTAAAACGTAAAAAAAAGGAATTAATCGAAGATTAAAAATTATTCATTGATGCTTCACTCTTCCTTCTCTTAATTCTCTTTAAGTCATTATCAATATTTATAAAACATCTATGAGTATATGAAGTTTAATAAATTCGATTTTTTCATTTTCACAACAAAAAGATAAGCGCGCGCACAGTTCTAGTAAATTATTAATGTTTAATGACCACCAATTGGGAGCATGTACTATGCCGCGACAGAGCGGCTAGAAAGGGGAGTAGAGGAGGTGACAACAGCGCATCGGCTGGTGAAGAGAGGCTTGTGACAATGCTCTAAAGATACGACATTGGCAATGTTATTTGGAAATATTTATTGGCAACGTTGGGGTCACTAGATGCCCAGATTTGTCGACAAATTGGCGATGTCCGACTAGATTTGAGATGGCACTGGCAAAAATTATTTTCTGGGTGATAAAGGGCTCAATACATAACATAATCTGGCATAACATGATTTTTGGAGATTCAAGAAATCATATCGCTCAATCACATGAAAACTTACCCTCTATCATCTAGGGACATTGTCAATACCATATCTACCTTGTGACTACCCTTTCTTCATAACCCGATGCGCTGTTGTGACCTTCTCTACTCCCCTCTCTACTCATTCTGTGGCGGCAAAATGCGCGCTTCCAATTGGACGTTATTAAACATTAATAATTTTAAAACTGTTGAATTGATCATTTTTTCGCATTTTTCCTGTATTCAGGGGACTAAAATTTATCATTGGACGCGAGGTTTATTAGTAGTTCAAAAACACCTTGTATATCCTCAGAGATTTCCCAACTATTTGGACACAATTAAATGGTGATATTTTGCTGGTTGGAGATAGCGGAGGAAACGGTTCGTCAAAAAAGTTTAGTCACGTTGTTTTAGGGTTGTTGGTGTTGTTTAGATTCTTCTCGTTGGGGGCCGATGCACCGCCACGTCTTCGACGTGATTCCTGGGTTAAAAGCGAAGAGCGATTGCTTTCACAAATTAGCAATTGTGTTGTGGAGGAGAGTAATTGACTCATCTTAACACAGACAAGTCTTCTGGTCAATTTTGGGTTCTTTCACTTTTATACATATCATTGCATAATAATCTATACATCAACAATACTTTGAAAAAATTTCCGAAATTTTGAATTTTTATGTCAAATGGAGGAGGTATTCTATCACATTATCCATTTTTCTTCTCCAGTAATTTTTTTTTAGTTTCAAAGAGTTGACAACGTTAAATTCCTTCGTAAATAATTACATTTATAAAGGAACAAAAAGGGATAACTAAAAAAAATGTTCTGAATTCATTAGATGATGGCTTAAAAAATTTGTTTGGATGTCGTTTTGACCGAGTTTGAAGATGCAGGCGATAGCAATAATCGTTATTTTAATTTATTTGAAAATTGGCAAAAGTTTTGTATTTTTGGAAAATCTGAATTCCGGGGATATCTTTGAATATCATGCTTCAGATTGAATTTTTGTACGCATTTTTAATATTCCAGTTGAGAGGCATTAAAAAAACAACAGGAAAAAAAATTTTCTAGAAATTTTCTGAACAAAAAAAACCTCTGACGCCTGGACTAGTAAGCAAACTGAATTTTTCTTCAGATTTTAATTAATTGTTTTCAACTTAAGGGGAGACTACTGTAAGTTTTAAAAGTCGTGGGTTATTGGAGTGAGACTTTTCATACGTTGAAGATCGATTATATAGATCTGAAAATGAATAATTAGTGCAAAAATAATTTTTTTTTATTGTTCGTTTGTCCGAAAACGCTTAAAATGCCAAAAACAGTCCAGGGCATCCAATTTTTGAGCTACGAATGGTTTTTCTTCAAAATTTTCGGAAAAATATGTGGAATAACAATTACGAGCTAGTTTTTTTAAAATTCACCTGTTAAATGGCTAAATTTGCTTTTTTGGTATTTTTTTACACAAATAGTGAATTTTTTTATATGAAAAAAAAAAAAAATCAGCTGTGTAGGAGTCGAATTCCAAAAAACTGGCTCGTAATTATTGTTCCACACATTTTTCCGAAAATTTTGAAAAAAAAAATCTTTTGTAGCTAAAAAATTAGAGACCCTGGATTGTTTTTAGCATTTTAAGCGTTTTCGGGCAAACGAACAATAAACAAAAATTTTTTTTTGCACTAATTATTCGTTTTCAGATCTATATAATCGATCTTCAACATATAAAAAGTCTCACTCCAATAACCCACGACTTTTAAAACTCATAGTAGTCTTCCCTTAAAAAAACAACAGAAATAAAAAAATTTCTCTAGGAATTTTCTGAACAAAAAAAACCTCTAACGCCTGAACTAGTAAGGAAACTGAATTTTTCTTCAGAGTTTATTTAATTGTTTTCAACTGAAGGTGATTCATAATTGTACTATTTTCATTCCATTTTCATTTTGCACAGTGGCGCTTTGTGTACAGATCGGTGCCGTGTACAGTTCTGACTCGGCGGATGTATCCCCCAACTTAAACAGGAAGTTATTTGAAGCTATTTGCGACTACTGACATAATATGTTGTTTCATAATGTCCCCATTAGGGAATTATTCCCCATTTGATGTGATCATCGTCTAAGTTATCATCGGTATCGATTATCGCTACATTTTCAAACACCTGATTCCCAGTTCCTAGAATGACAATCGACGGACAAAACTCTGTGAAGAGGCCAAGACTGAAAGAAAGTCGGTCGACCCCCTTTCCTATGCCGCCATGCGAATTGTTGTCCTACTTTCACATAATGCATCCACTCATATATTCCATATCACTCATATCTTGTCGGAACAGCTCTAGAGCAAAATCCCCTGTCCTCAGATCACAATCAAGACTTCGAAAATTAAAAATTCTGAATCCTCCAAATTCCTTCCACTCTCATATCCTAATGTATCTCGACTGCTTACCTCTGGACAATCACCTGTGAACAGCACCTCAGGTGATTGTCCAGAGCCGGAGAGCGGTTCTGAATTACTCAGGTAGAGGGGACGAAAGAAATAGAAGGGAACGAGTCAACGAAACATCAATATTCAAAGTGAAGAGAAAAGAGACAGTTGTCTATCCCCAACGAATCTCTTCTTTATTTCATTCATCGATTTCATTCCATTGAGTGACATTTTTATTTCATTACAAATGGTTTTCATTTTTTACACAAAATTATTGCCATATATTTTCACAGAAATACATAAATTAAATTATTCATTGAATTAAAATTGAAATATAAATTGTTGAATAGGAGGATTTATATGTGATATAATCCACGTGCAGTGAATTTTCAAGTGTTCAGTCCTTGTGAGTTCAGTAATAGCAGACGGTTTCAGTGATTCGAAATCGGCGATCATTAAGCAACTTCTTGATAGATAAGATTGCGGAGGAATTTGAGGAAAAATCGATATCTTTTTTTGAAAAACTGCAGTCCAGAGTATTTGTTGGAGATCGGCGGCTGCCGATATGGGGTTTATCATAGTTTTGCACGTGATATTCTTCGCAATGTGCGGGGTCACTTCGACGGAACCACTTCTGTCGAGGAACACGTACAAAGGGCTCAAGGGTATCGTACCAAGTGCAGAAATATCGACGACAGGACTCAGGCGAGCCGTTTACTATCATGATCAGGCTGTGGCTGTCATCGATGTGAATGGCAGGAATGAAATTCAAAATTGCGATATCATTGAGGTTTAGTAAGTGAGAAAAATTTGGGGGATTTTTCCGGATTTTTAAAAAATTTCTCTTTAATTCAAGTTTTTTTTACGTGCCACGGACGAAAAAATTGAATAGAAAAACCTATCGAATTCGTTAGAAAATTCTATTGAATTTCTATTCAACTGATCTATTAGTTTTTGGCCGATTCTATTGAAATGTTCAATAGAAAATATTCAGTAGAAAAAGTCAATAGAATTCAATTTTTCTATGTAACTTATTCTATTGAGATATTTTCTATAGAATTTCCTCGGTTCAAATTTTCTAAGTTTTTTCGTTTGATTTTCTTGATGAGAAGAAAAGAAAAATAGAATGAAAAAAACTTAGAAAATTTGAGTCGAGCAAATTCTATAAAAAATATATGAAAAGAATAAGTTATATAGAAAAATCGAATTCTAAGAAGATGAAAAGAACAAAAAGAATTTTAAAAAGAAAATTCTCTAAGGATTTTAAAAATATTCTGATGATTTGATTTCATATTTAAGGTAATATTTAAGGTAATATTTAAGTTTATTAATCTGAAAGTGATCATCGAGAAAGGGAAATTTTCAAAAGTCCGGGGCAGCCCCCTTCGATGGTAAATCGTAGGTTGAATTTTGAGTCGGTGAAATTAAGGAATTTATTGGAATTCAATTGACGTGTGAAAAAAACCAATGGAACACCTAATGCATTCTACAGAAATTCTATTTTTGTTTTTCATTGATTTTTCTTCAGAATTATGCAATTTAACCATTAATTTCTTCAGAGGAAATCGTATCAATTGACTTTGCACAAAAATTCCATTGATTTCTATCGAACTTTCTATTAGTTTTTAGCCGATTCTATTGACAAATTCCGCTACTTATCTGTGCTGTTTTTTCGATAGAAATGTTGAACGGAAAATTTTTTATAGAAAAAATCAATAGAATTAGATTTTTCTACACAATTTATTCTATTGAAATATTTTCTGTAGAATTTCCTTGGCTCAAATTTTCTCAAGATTTTTGTTTGATTTTCTTAATAAAAAGAAAAGAAAAATAGAATGAAAAAAAACATAGAAATATTGAGCCGAGGAAAGTCTATAGAAAATATCTCCATAAAATAAGTCGTATAGAAAAATCGAATTTTATTGACTTTTTCTATACAATCGGCCAAAAAATAATAGAAAGTTCAATAGAAATCTTATAAAATTGTCTACCGAATTCGCTAGGTTTTTCTATTAATTTTTTTTTCGTGCGTGAAATTCAGCATGTGTTGATTTCCATCTCAAGTGGTTTTGTGATTAAAAAAAATTGTTTTAAATGTTTGTGAGATAATAAAAATACAGAATAATCATCTATCATTTGAATTCAGGATGAATTCTCAAGGGAAAAGCAACTAATTGTTTCAGTGAACCAGAGGAACAAATGGAAGTACTGGCAAATCTCTCTGACATAGCGCGTCCCACTGAGGTATCATTCAGCGACATGACGGGTTTGATGTATCGATGTCAAACAGTAGATCGCATGAAGGATGATATCTCCGGAGATAAGAACCAAGCAAAGAGTTCTGTAGACCCTGTGAATGTATTCAGTGGCAATCCCTTCTATTTATTGTTTGGAATAGTACCAGGTTAGAAGTGTTATTTGTATCGATACATGTACGAAAGAATTTCATAGAAAAGCCTAGTGAATTTTTTTTCAATACAACAAATGTTCAACCGACAATATTCTATAGAAAACATTAGTCTATTGAGAATAGACTGGTCTGTAGAAAATTCCTCGGCTCAAATTTTCAAAGTTGTTTATCTCATTTTATCAATGAGAAGAGAATAAAAATAGAGCGAAAAAACATGGAAAAGTCATGTCGAAGAATTTCTATAGAAAATGTCTCATTAGAAAGAGTTGTATAGAAAATTCGAATTCTACTCATTTTTTCTATAAAATAGTTTCTGTTGGAATTCTTCAATAGAATCAGCTAAGAATTAATAAAATAGCGAATTCGCCAGGAGATTCTATAAAATTTCTGCAGCTTATCTGCGCATTTTTTTAAAATAGAAATGTTCAATCAAAAATATTCAAGAATAAAAATGGAGCTGTGATTTTTCTATAGAAATTCCTTGGCTCAAATTTTCAAAGTTGTTTATCTCTTTTTATTAATGAGAAGAGAATACAAATAGAGCGAAAAAATGTGGAAAAGCCATGTCGAGGAATTCCTATAGAAAATGTCTCATTCTACTCATTTTTTCTATAAAATAGTTTCTATTAGAATTCTTCAATAGAATCAGCTGAGAATTAATAAAATAGCGAATCCGCCAGGAGATTCTATCAAATTTCTGCAGCTTATCTGCGCATTTTTTTTTTAATAGAAATGTTCAATCAAAAATCTTCATGAATAAAAATTGGGCTGTGATTTTTCTATAGAAATTCCTTGGCTAAAATTTTCAAAGTTGTTTATTTCATTTTATTAATGAGAAGAGAATAAAAATAGAACGAAAAAATGTGGAAAAGTCATGTCGAGGAATTCCTGTAGAACATGACTCATTAGAAACAGTTGTATAAAAAATTCGAATTCTACTCATTTTTTCTATAAAATAGTTTCTATTAGAATTCTTCAATAGAATCAGCTGAGAATTAATAAAATAGCGAATCCGCCAGGAGATTCTATTAAATTTCTGCAGCTTATCTGCACATTTTTTTTTAAATGTTCAATCAAAAATATTCAAGAATAAAAATTGGGCTGTGATTTTTCTATAGAAACTCCTTGGCTGAAATTTGCAAAGTTGTTTATCTCATTTTATTGATGAGACGAGAATAAAAATAGAGTGGAAAAAACTTGGAAAAGTCATGTCGAGGAATTCCTATAGAAAATGTCTCATTACAAACAGTTATATAGAAAATTGGAATTCTACTCATTTTTTCTATGAACCAGTTTCTATTAGAATTCTTCAATAGAATCGGCTGACAGTTAATAAAATAGCGAATTCGGTAGAACATTCTATTAAATTTCTATTGAATTTTGTCAGTTTTCGACCGATTCTACTGTCAAATTCAACAGCTTATCTGAGCATTTTTGTCAATAAAAATGTTCAATCGAAAATATTCTAGAGGAAAATTAGTCTATTGAGACATTTCCTATAGAAAATTACTCGGCTCAAATTTGCAAAGTTGTTTATCTGATTTTATTGATGAGACGAGAATAAAAAGAGAGTGGAAAAAACTTGGAAAAGTCATATCGAGGAATTCCTATAAAAAATGTCTCATTAGAAAAAGACAATAAAAAACCATTGTATAGGAAAGGGAATTCTACTGATGTTTTTTTATAAAATAGTTTCTATTAGAATTCGTCAATAGAATCGGCAGAAAATGAATGGAATTTTCCATCGAATTCTCTAGGTTTCTTCTTCTTTTCGTTATAGTTATACCCTCACTCAAAGATAGGGAATTTTTTCGTGTGTGTACTGCTGTGTTTCAATCGGATCTGATTCGTTACGTATGAGAGTTAATTCATAATTTTTTTCAGGCACCAAATGGTGTGGCACAGGAGATATAGCACAAGATTATCAAGATTTGGGACCCAATTCTGCGGTAGACAGGTGAGTCAGGCGTGAAGAAATTCCATGGAAAAGCTATCGAATTCGCTAGAAAATTCTATTGAACTTTCTATTAGCTTTTGGCAGATTATAGTGAAATATACAACGGAAAATATTCAATACAAAAAGTCAATAACTTATTCTCTATTCTCAGATATTTTCTATACAATTTCCTCGGCTCAAGTTTTCTAAGTTTTTTAAATTCTATTCTTCTTTTTTTCTCATCAGGAGAATCAAATGAAAAAACTTTGAGCCATGGAAATTCTGTAAAAAATATCTCAATAGAATTTTTATTGAACTGTTCTATTAGTTTTTGGCCGATTCTATTAAAATGTTCAATAGAAAATATTCTGTAGAAAAAGTCAATAGAATTCAATTTTTCTGTATAACTTATTCTATTGAGATATTTCCTATAGAATTTCTTCGGCTCAAATTTTCCAAGTTTTTTCGCTTGATTTTCTTGATGCGAAGAAGAGAAAAATAGAATGAAAAAAAAATTAGAAAATTTGAGTTGAGTAAATTCTATAGAAAATGTATAAAAAGAATAAGTTATATAGAAAAATCGAATTCTGTTGACTTTTTCTATTGAACATGTCAATAGAATCAGCCAAAAACTAATAGAAATTCAAGAGAATTTTCTAACGAATTCGACAGGTTTTTCTATTAAATTTTTTCGTGCATGTGATTAGTCCAAATGGAAGGGAAAGTTAAAGGAAACGACTTGAAAATCATTGAAGTGTGTGATTTATTCGAAAGAGGTTGAGTGTTTCATCGAACTGTGAAATAAGTTCCACAAACGACAGATTTATTCACTCAACTGTAATATTTTACAACTTTTTTGACAAATAGTAAACATAAACGATGGATTTTTGGAAGAAAAATTCCATTAGAGGATTGAAATTTTGACCATTAGTATCAAATGAGAGACGAGTGAGTTTTAAATCCATCGTTCTTGCTCGAGTGAACAAGAAGGTTGCACTTGTATTCAAGTTCTGTCGATTCTGAAATAATTTCTTTCCAATTAATACATTACAGATGCTGCAGAACTCACGACCTGTGTCCTGTCAAAGTTCGTGCCCATCGAACTCGATACAATATCACTAATTCCTCAGCGTACAGCAAGTAAGAGATTATATCTCCAAAAACTATAAATTATAGGCGAAAAAACTCATAGAAATGCCTAGCACATTAGCTGAAAAAATGTATTAAAAAATTACAGTTTTTCTGTGCATTTTTTTCAATAGAAACCATTTCAAATCAATTCTAAAGAAATTTCCTGGTTTGGTTTCTCGAAATTTTTTTGCTTCAACTTATTTAATGACACAAATTCATGTTGATTCATATTGATTTAGCTTTTATCAAGTTTTCGAGGAATATCTCCGAATTTAAGGGAGATAGCGAACTTTTTGTAATGACCTTTTTTATGGAGCGAATTGAGAGCTATAAAAAAGATCGTAACCAAAATTGCACTATCTGCCTTAGATTCCTAGATATTCATCGAAAACTGGTCGATAGTCAAAATCGACTAGAACCGTTTTACCGTTTTCACTGAAATGTAGTGAATAACAAAACAATAGAATAATATTTGTATGGGAAGATGAAAATCTACAGATTTGTTCTTTAAATCATTTGTCATTAAATTTTCTCTATTGAAAACGGCGCAGAAAAGCTGTGACATTCATCAATAAAAGCAGAAATACTAATACAATTTTTCAACGAAATCAAATAGAATTTTTTAGCGAACATCTTTGATTTTTTTTCATCCGGGAAGAATTTAGGAATAATTACATAAATTAATCATCAAACGATTTCATTTCATTGTACTTTTACAGATCCCATTGTGATTGCGACCACGCTTTCTACAATTGTCTCAAGAGCGTTGGCACCTCAACAGCGAACATCATGGGAAAAATTTATTTTAATATCGTCAAGGTGGGATGCGTAGAGGACTTGCCAAAGAGCGTGAATTTGAAGTTGTCTACCAACCAAATGCGAAGGTTCGCGTCGGCAAAATTGTCTTTCTAATCGAATAGAAATAAAACATAAAGAAATATTTCTTTGTCTTCGTAACTACCATTCAACAGTCAATAGTTTCATATGGATTCCACAGCAAGAGAGAAATCCAAAGATTCCAGGTAATTTTTCAACGTCTCACTCACTCGCAAGGACGGATGATTGTAAAGATTACCTGTTGGAGGACAAACAAAATTGTAAATAACACACTGAGAAAAAAGTTGACACTGAGAGAAATTGTTTTTCTCAAATCGACACTTTCTAATAAAACAATAGTATTTCATTCTTATTTTTAAAAGAAAAGTATTTCAGAGTTTCCGAATAAACAAAGGTATCTCAGAATTCCCTATAAAATCAATTTATTGGAAATTTCCGGGACAAACTCGTCTAACTCAAACGAAATCAGAAAGAAATTATTTCGTGAACGCTGATTAAATAGTGTTTAACCGAATTAGTCGACATATTGTGAATTTATAATGTGTTAAGAGATTCCTGCCAGAGAATTAATAAAATGAATGAGAGGGACGAGTGGAGTGATCGCAGCAAGGATTCAACGGGAGAACTGAGTGGATAGATCATCAATCCAGAATTCATCAATAGGAAAATTGAAATCATCTCCTGAAACGAGTGTAGTGGAGTTTTGGAACGGACATTTATGGAACTCTATGACTCAGAATAAAAATACGGATACAGGGAAAAGAAATTGAGAGTGAGAGTAGCCAGGACTTATGTGCATAACTACGCCGCATAGGATCAGAATAATTCGAAGGTATCTGTTTTGACATCTTGATCGGTGCATGCTACATGGAATTAATTCTCCAACACTTACGTTTTCATGCTTTTGACAGCTGCATGAATTTAAGTTGTATGGGAGTATCGTGAAGTTTGAGGAATGGGAATAAAATGAAAGGATTGCTGAATTCTCTGGGAATTATACATATTAAATGAGCACCACTTGCACAGTATTTAATCAGAGTTACTGAGATAAGTATTTTTTATTTCGTCTGAGTTACATGAGTTTTCCCCGGAAAATAAATGAGTTTTATAGGGAATTCTGATATACCCTTGATTTATTAGGAAGTGTCGAAATGTGAAAATACCGTACCTATCAACCACAAAGTTTCTTTCCTAACAGAAACATGTGGATGTGACAATAATTTATTGAGAACATTCAGTAGGCCACATCCTCCAGAACCTATGTTCGATGTAAGAATCGAATCCGCTACAACTCCCGATCCCTCTGAAGCTAAATTCGCTAGTAATCTCACAATAGCAATGACCTCGTTCGCATCGCTCTCGGAATCCTCCCCCTCCTCTCGCTTCACAATAGTCCCAAGATACGAGAGAATCGGGATGACAAGAGTAGAAAGATGATTTCTACAAGCAAATGTCGATGACAGTAACGCCAGAAGCCAGAGTATGTCAGATGACATGTGATTCTCGTTCGGCAGACGTTCCACTATGATCTGTGTCACCTGAATAAAGTCTGATTCCCTGGAGAGAGAACGATTATTTTGTCATGATAATCCTCTTCCACTCGTTCGATATAAAAGTCATGATACGCGGGGAAAAAAGTTGGGCAAAAATGCAGGCGGCTGTGTTTTCGATACAGCTCTAATTGTACGTGGATGCGTCCATGGTCTTTCCTTCTGTCTCGAATTTCCTAGAAACTCCTTGAATTCTCTCGAATGTTCTGGAAACTCATTGAATTCCCTCGAATTTGCTAGAAACTCCTAAAATTTCCTCGAAATTTCTAGAAACTCCTTGAATTTTCTCGAAATTTCAAGAAACTTCTCGAATTACCTCGAAATGTCTACAATATTCTAGAATTCCGATAGATGGCACTGCACATAAGGACTGTTCCCCCAAAATGACACCCCATATTGAAACCATAGGCGTATCCACGTCAAAAATTTCGCGGAGAAAAATGTTGGAAAAAAATTACTGAACAAGTCAAGTATTGTGGAAGAGGGCGAGACGAATAATGAATTTTTCTTCGTTGGCCCGAGGAAATTTATTAAATGTGAGGATAATTTGTGCTGAAACTGCCAAATTTACCCCGCATTCCAACAAAAATTATTCCAGTGAACGTGAACGATTGCTCAATATTGCGTATAATTTTTCTGTAACGTAGAATGACTTTTTACCGAACGCGTTTGGTAAAATTTCACTTCGATTCGTCCCCATGATCTTCAGATGGGCGCAAGAAAAAATACCCTACAGGTATGGGGAATTTTACGGTACAGGAGGATAATTTTTGCATCCATAGATGTGTTTTTTGCTTTCGAATGGAAGTCATGTGATCGGTCGATTTTTCGATTCTCTAATTTTGCTTGGAAATAACTTAGAATGTCATGAAACGTCGAAATATGATGTTTTGAGAGAATGTTTTGGGAATGTGTGTACGTCCGTATGCGCGGACAAAATTCTGAGATTTTTTAAATAAATTTTCACAGAAAAAGGACTAAAGTGATAGATAAAAACAGGCATCCCCATCAATATTAAAATTCTGTAATATGCAAGAATTTGACCTTTACATTAATGAAGGTTTAAAATATGTTGATCTAATTTTTCAAATAATATAATATCAATAATCGAGTTTTTTCGAATAATGATGTATTTAAAATTTGTTAATATGAAACTGTAAATTTACCACTAAGTGAATAATTCAAATTTCTTAAAAGGGGATTTTTGATTACACAAATAATCATCAATCTTCCTACCTCAATTATTGATTGATAAAATAGTTAAAAATTTGAATATTTAAATTGATGACAGTTAAGTACTCAAAAAATTTAAAAGTGATATAAACTAATTGATGGCTACCATATTTAACAGTAATTAAATATTACAAATTTGGCTATCCCTGGATAAAAATCTGAAATTTTGAGATACAGCGATTCCGAAAAATTTTTCTTTTCTCAATATCTCGAAAACTACTGCATCAAATGACCTTTTTTGGCGTCAAAATATTCTTTATGATAATATCTATCGAATCGAATAATATCTATCAAATTAATGTGAACACCATGACGCTTGAAAAAACTGAGATAGGAAGTTGAAATTTGCTAGGATGCTAGCTCTTACTATATTACAGGCTGGGATATTAGATGGGTTAAATGGAATGGGTAGTTTTAAAGATATTCAATTTTTTGTATAAAACTAAATTGTTCAATATCTCAAAAATTATTCATCCCATTTTTTTTTTTTTTTTCAAAATACGCGGCTAGTTCTTACAAAATATATCGATACCTTAATAACAGACGTGCGTAAATTCTATTAAGGTGTCGATATATACCCGTTCCTACAAACTTTATGAGATATTGGCGTTTTTCTATTTTTCTTTTTTGAAAGTTCCTCGCTTTTCAATATTTCGCAGAAGTTCTTCTTTTTATCCAACTTTTCTCACCGTGGAATTGGTCGCTGCCAATTTTTCCTCAACTTTTTTTCTCCCTGTAAGCAACGTCATACCTCGCAACCCCTCGAGAAGAATTTCCGAATAAATAGAACTTAAGAGCATAAGCAATTGATGAAATTATTGTGGTGTGGCAGGATTTCAATAATGAACACAGGCGGTTGAGACAGCCTAAATTGTGGAGTACCTCGAGGACTTTCTTCGAGTCGCTGTTACAGAGATTTCCGATGGTCCAGGCACTTGCTTCCTTAGAATTTAAACATGTGCAAATAAATACAAAGATGACAGTGAGAGATCATATGAAGATGGTGTGGTAAATCATAACAGATTGTATCCAAAACCATTTAGTTCGAAACAGGGATGGCCATCAATCTTCCGATTCTTCAATATTGAAGTAGCTCTACCCTTACGGTAAATTCAAAGATTATTGAAAACTGCAAAACAATTGTAGAAAACTCGATTAGATTCGCGATTCTAATTTTTTTCTCAATTTAGTTATCGTTTTGGTTTTTCAAAGAAGAAATGTTTAAAAATCAGGATTTAACCCGGTGTCCTATGTGAAAATCAACATTTCCATTGTAATCTAAGATTAAAATCTGATTTTTTTTTCATTAGATGTGAAAAGATCAAGAATTTTTTTTATACGTCATGAAAAATAATCCACCGTTTTGCAAACAAGTTTTAGTATTTATTTATAAGAGGGAAATGTTTGAAAAAATATCAATATTTTGCCAAATTTAATTTAGATAATACTGATTGAGTATGAATTTTTTCAAATTTTTTCCATGCAATTTAGTTGAAAAATTTAAAAATGAAAGGTAGAGCTACTTTAATAGTTATTTTCATCACAAGGTCCACAAAGTATTTTCTGACGAATGTGGCTTTGTAGGCCGAGCCGAAGGCGAGGCCTATAATCACATTCGTCAGAAAATACTTTTGGACCGTATGATGAATGCAATTTTTCGTCAGAAGGCCCGTAAACCGCGATCAAACCGAGCGCAGCGAGGTTAGAATCGTGGTTTACCGGGTCTTCTCACGAAAAAGAATTTTCCGACGTATATTGGTTAAGGTTTAACTATACTCGTCGAAATTAAAAAATAGTAAAATAATTGATCATCTAAATTTCCAATTGATGAATTAAATATTTCATAATATGGAACTGTCAATTTTTTGTTATGTAAATAATACTAAATTTCTTAAAAAGGATCTTCGATTGCCCAGATAATCGTCAATTTTCCTAACTAAATTACTAATTAATAAAATAATTCGGAATTTGAATATTGAATTGACTAGCGAATAGATTAATTTATCTTATTTAATTTAATTTAATTTTCTTTCCATTTGCGTCTTCATAATTAGATTAATTTAATTTAGAACACTGTCATGAAGAGGAATTATATTCAAGATCAATCAAAAGTGGATTTTTTATGATCAATTTTACGATTGGCTAGAAAATGGAGAAAATTTGTTTTTCTTCATTTCTGTTGGTGGAAACATGGAATCGCTGTTTGTTCTTCGAATATGGGCGGAATATAAATGTTTTGGAATTTTATGATCTAATTTTTACGAGAAGAAATGAAAAAACACAAAAAAACGTAGGCAGGAAGAACTTGAAAAAAAAACATTTTTCAATGTCTCCGGAAAGTTTTAAAATCGATATATTTATTCGAATAATGGAAGAATACCTATCAATTGGATTTCTATCCTCGTCTTTTGATAGAATGAAGAGAATAAATGACGGAAATTGAGAGTTGGAGATTCAAAATTTTATCGGATTATATAATAATTCCTCTCAATGAAATCAGATCATGAAAAGTTAAATTTTTCGTTTTAATGATGTGATTCCATTGAGAGGAAATGAGCAAAGTGCAGGGAGAGATGATCAGCAAGAAAATAAAAGAAAACGATTTTTTATTTTTCTGAAAAATTTAAAAACTGATTTTTTTTTAAATGACGAAAAAATATCAATATGTTCCCTTTCTATGATCTAATTCCAATGGAAGAAACTGAAAAAAAGAACAGAGATACGTGATCAGCAAGAAAATAAAAGAAAACGATTTTTTATTTTTCTGAAAAATTTAAAAACTGATTTTTTTTTAAATGACGAAAAAATATCAATATGTTCCCTTTCTATGATCTAATTCCAATGGAAGAAACTGAAAAAAAGAACAGAGATACGTGATCAGCAAGAAAATAAAAATTTCGATTTTTCAATGTCTCCAGAAAGTTTTTAAATTGATACATTTTTTGAAATAATAATGAAAGAATACCCATCGATTCAATTTCTACCTTCATATTTTGATAGAATACATAAAAAAATAGGAAAGAATAAAAATCGGAGATGAAAAATTTTATCGGATTAATATAATGTAATGATTACTTTAATAATTAAAAATTCAACAGTGATATTAACGAACATCATATTCATATTTAATATCGAATATCAATATTCATAATTATAATTTAAGAATATGGCTATCCCTGGTTCGGAGAACCAATTTTCGATAGAAAAGAGTTCTTGACAGTTTCTCTTTATTGCCATATAATTCGTACTTTATCCACAATTTTTTTCTCCGCGTGTGAATTTCGTTTAAAGAAAACATGTTTTGGAATTTCCTCATGAAGTTACTGATTAGAGAGAAAACATATTTTTTAAAATGTCAGAAAACTATTTCTTTTGTTCCGTTCTATTAAGTTTTGCCACGAAATTTTTTATTTGCCAATTACATCGAGTCCTTACCAAAAGGGGATTACTGCGACTCTCCAATTGCGTTACCAGATATGGCCCAATATTCTTGCACAATGCAGTAGAATGTTTTCTACCACCAAGCGCGATATTACAACAGCAGTGCAATGCCAACAATTGTATCTCTGGATTCGAGCTTGATAAATCACGAACTAATGCTGATAGAATTTGCTCGATCGACATGAATCCATTGATGTTATCTTCGCCCTTGAAATTGACAAGAAGTCGAACTATTTGTCTTGATCGAAAATGAAAAGAACACATGCATGAAACTTATAAAAGAAAAACCTAGGAAAATCCATTCAATTCAATTTAATTAAGTAAATGTCATTACTAAAGAAGGTGAAACGAAACGTATGAAGCACAGTCAAGGCTTTATATAAGATACCTTAGGGACAGTAGGAGAGTGGAATTTCGGGAATCGGTACACCCACACTACGCGCGCTCGTAGAGAAGAAAATTACCAACGAATTTTTTGTTTGCTCACGAGGGAATTTCGGTTTAATATTTTCACCGTCCCCAAATCATTTTTGTTAATGCATTTTGGAGGAAAACGGAGTACTTAATCAAAAATCGGGCTCCGTAGTTGAGTTCCCCGGAATGTTCTCTTTATTCCGGATACAAATATTCATTTTTTCGAATCGTTTTTCATGTAGTTTCGTCCAAACACAGATACCTCGCTCGTTGCGCCCGAATTCTACGGAATTTTCATTTTTACTGAATGGATATGGATAACTAATCAGTTTATACGAGTTTAATGTTTTGAATTCGTATAGTCCGCGTTCTCTTTTCTCTCTAAACATAACCCCGCGTGATAGAATGGCAGCTGATGTTGAGGGACTTGAGAATAATCACTTCTGGACCGCTGAAGTACAAATTATTTAAAGTCCGTAAATTAATTGAATTTTAATTAGGCTTTATTCTATCAAGATAATTCTGCGTCATCATTTTAATAATTATAGCGTCGAAAAAAAGAGATGACCCTTGGGATCGTTTAACCCTTCTGATTAATTCACTTGACTCTCACGTTTGAACTTTTGACCCTTACGGTCATTTGACCCTTATGATTAATTCGTTCGTCCCTCCCGTTTGACCCTCAACTCCGTTTGATCCTTATAATCACTCTTTTCCCGTTGAAAAATGATCGAGGCCATAGGTATCTTATAAGAAGCCCACGGAACTAAACATTCGGGAGGCGATGAAAGTGCCGAGAGTGGGGGGTAGGTCTCGAGCGCTCGGAGTTCGGGGTATCTTATAAAGAGGTATCTTATATGAGGCCTCGACTTTGAGAATTTTTATACGAAATATAAAAAGCCTTGGTTTTCGAAATTTCGATAACCAGACTTTAACATCACCTGTAAGGATGCAATAAAAACAAAATGCCTCAAGAATTGAATGCGATTGGATTTAGAACGCTAACTCCTTTAGTTTTTGTGAAATCCTCAAAAAATGAAGTGATCACGGATTAACGCCCTTTTTCCTCTACAGTCCATCCGCTTAAGTTATATTTTTTTCTATATTTTTTGGGATCGTAGAATTCAAATTTATTTGTTGACCAACGCTCAAGTGATGCATTCATAAAGTTATTAACAATTGAATTGTTCTCTGCACCAATGAGTTGTACAACAGAAAAGTTTCAATGAAAAATGTTTGTGGTGTCAAAACGAATCCATTCCCGTTTCATTTATTCTGATATCTCAATTAACAAATGAGATAGAGCAATTGTTTACAATTTCTAAGGGCCTAGAAATATCGTAAATTTCCTCATGAATTGAATGCAACAGGCTCTTCTAGCTCTTCTAGTTTTCGGGAAATCCATAAAAAACGAAGCCATCACGGATTCACTAGACATAGCGAATTCGCTAGAAAATTCTGTTGAAATTCTATAGGAATTCTATGAGGTTTCTATAGGATTTCTATTGGAATTCTATTGAAATATTCTATTTGTTTTTTGCGCCGATTCTATTGGATATTCGAAAAAAAAAGAAAAAGTCAATAAAAAAAAATAAAGTCAATAGATTTCAAATTTCTGTTTGAATTTTTCTCATGAGATTTTTTCTATAAGAATGCTTGGGCCTCGATTTTCTGAATTTTTTCCACTCGGATTCTGCAATGCAAAACGAAACAAAATCCAGCAGAAAAAACTTGGACAATTTGTGCCCAATAATTCTAATAGAAAAAATCTAAGAGAAAAATTCAAACAGAAATTCGAAATCTATTGACTGTTTCTTATTGAATATCCCATAGAATCAGTGCAAAAAACAAATAGAATTTATCAATAGAATTCCAATAGAAATACTATAGAAACCCCATAGAATTCCTATAGAATTCCAACAGAATTTTTTAGCGAATTCGCTAGGTTTTCTATTGAATTTTTTCATGCGTGTTGTCACCCTTTTTGCTCTGCGGGCAATAGTAAGCGTGGAAAATAGAAAAATAGAGAAATTTCTAAAATAAGAACTTCTACTTAATCCAATGCGTCATTTCTCTGAATATCCACGATTAGATCGTCTTTGTTACCTGCAACAGAGCTACTTCCAATTGTTTATAATCCTCCACTGACAACGTCTTTCTTTTGAGATCCTTTCCTTTTTGCACGAGAAACTTTCCTGACCAATCACATTGGCCTTTACAGTTGTCATTTAACTGCACTCCCAACGCTGTACGACGGAGTTTATTGAACTCTCGATTTCGATGATGTTTCCTCTCGTTTTCAGCTGCTTTACGCAGACCACGACGAATTATTTCCACTGCGCTTTCATCGTTGTTAGCAGTATCTCCAGTGCATCCAAGTGAATCCATTTTATCTTTTTTTGATGAATTTATTAATTAAATAAATATTTGGTTTCTATTTATTCCTGAAGTTTTAACTGATATTTTTCAAAACGTTAAATTTTTACATTATTAAGTAACGGTTGAGCACTAGGAGACAATTACAATAACAATGGGAATAATTTTATTTTGTTTATAAATAAACTGTTAGTCTAATTAGGATAAATAATTGAGGAAATTTTAATTGTTATTTTTTGGAATTTAAATTTTTCAAATTATCATGTAACATTTGAACGCAAGGGAATAATCACAACAATTTGAATAATTTTAAATTGTTTATAAAAGAATTGTTAGTCTAATTAGTACCAATAATGGAGGAATTTATTCCGTTAATCTTTTGAGTGTTTTTTCGTTATTATACTGGTGGCTAAATCAATTTTTTGGAGGGAATCACTGATCCTTAACCTCTCGAGTGCGCTCGAGTGACAGAATGTTGTACAACACACGTGGAAAGGTGGGGGTTGGCCCGAGTACTTGAAGCCTGACGTCACAATTCTCCAATATCAATCGCCACTTCAATTCTTCTCGTTGAGTTTGTGTCATTGCCTGTAGAGTCGTAATAAAATGATATTGAAATTGAAATCATACTGAACATTTCATTTTGTTAATTTTTATTTTACAAATTGACTTGAAACCTACACGTATGAAAAAATCGTATAGAAATTTTCTATACGCATTGCGTGTAGAAATTCTATAGGATTTCCGTATGACATTAGGATTTTTCTATACGAATCATTTCTATACATAAATTTTGACCTAAATCGAGGGGCTGGTCACTTAGGAAATCACTGGACACGGAGGAAAAAATTTAATAGAAAAACCTAATCGAATTCGTTAGAAAATTCTATTGAATTTCTATTGAACTGTTCTATTAGTTTTTGAACGATTCTATTGACATGTTCAATAGAAAATATTCAGTAGAAAAAGTCAGTAGAATTAAATTTTTCTATACAACTTATTCTATTGAGATATTTCCTATAGAATTTCCTCGGCTCAAATTTTCTAAGTTTTTTCGTTTGATTTTCTTAATGAGAAGAAAATAAAAATAGAATGAAGAAAACAGAAAATTTGAGTCGAGCAAATTCTATAGAAAATATATGAAAAGAATAAGTTATATAGAAAAATCGAATTCTGTTGATTTTTTCTATTAAATGTTTTCTACTGAACATGTCAATGGAAATCAGCCAAAAAATAATAGAAAGTTTGATAGAAATTCAATAGAATTTTCTAAGGAATTCAATCGGGTTTTCTATTAAATTTTTTCACGCGTGGACCACTTAACTGGAAATCAAGTAATAAATCATAAAGAAATCAGGTAATTTCCGAAATCATTAGAAAACATCGATGAGTGTAAAATCGAAATTGATCAATTTTTGTTACGGTATCAGTGCGTTTGAAATCATCCAATCCCGAAATGTGACGCTATGAAATTTTTGACATCCTTACGTATGGTAACGTCATGTAGAAAACTGCAATTATCGACAGATGCCCCACTCTGGTCCCGAAATCATGATTTCTCCATTGATTTCTTGAAATCAAGAAATCATTAGAATCTACGTGAAATCATGGAAATCACAAAAAATCAAAACAAATCATGATTTCCAATGCTGATTGAGAAATCACCAAAATCATTTGAGAAATCACAGAAATCAACAGGAAATCACAGGAAATCATCTGATTCTGGAAATCACTGGGTCACTCGATTGCGGAGTGACCAGCCGCTCTACCTAAATTTTTGTTTTCAAACGAAAGATGTCTAAACGCTCCAGAGAAAAACGTAGAGAAATGTCGCGACTCCATACGAAATTTTTCTATACATGCAATGGGTCGTATAGGATAAATCCTATAGAAAGAATTTGTATAAAAAATATCCGTATAGTAGAAATAGCGGAATATCATATACGAAATTCCTATAGAAATTCTATAGGCAATCCGTATAGAAAATTTATATACGATTTCTTCAGACGTGTAGTAGTGAAGTGGTGAAGTATTGGACGCAACAAGTTGATTCTTGACATCACGATAAATAGAAATCGTGATTAATAAAAATTAATTACTGTTGATTTTGGAAAATTCAATTCCACATCTAGTTGAAAATGTAATTATCTCCATAATGATTTCTCTTGGGAAAAAAATCAAAAAACAACTTTTACTGTAAATTTTTTGAGCTGCAAAAAAGGATTTTGATATTTTCTTCTAAAATTAACTGGTTTCGAGATAAATGCATGATTAATAGAAATTAATTGCATTTGATTTTGGTAAATTCGACTCTTCACATCGGTTTGAAAATCTAATCATCTTCATAATGAATATTCAAGAGACAGCGCCAGAAAACATTAATTACTGGGAATGTTTTCAGATATGAATAAGTTGTTTTGATGTTTTCTCTTAAAATCATTCACTTCTTTATCACATAAAAATGGCAAATGACTACATACCACTGTTTTGAAAATTGAGATACCTAGCTGTCACTTCCCATGAGGAGTTAGTGTTTTGTTATCCACCATGGAAAATGACAGCTAATAGATAATTTGCTACAGCGACTCAGATATTTGTAATTTGCACTTTTTTTAACTCATTCTGAATTTCCATTAAAAACGCTTTTTGAAAAAGTTCAGAAATTTTCTACTTTTTTAAAAATAATTCTATCATAATTTTTGGGAATTTCTACATGATGTACCCACTCAATTGACAATTTAGATTCGAAAGATAGTACACCCGGGCCTTAATATCAGATAGATTGGAAGATAAATCAATAATTGAGGAAGATAAAAGCCTAAAAAATCAAAATTAATGGATAGCCAGTAGAACTTGTTAAATTTTACTACTTCATTATTAAATTATTTAAATAAATTAGTACATGATGGAATTGACCTTGAACTCGTCGACAGAACAAGCCAGGGCTTGTTCAGCTGGCGCTCCAGTGAGTCGGCATCCGATTAGATATCCCGTTTCGTCCTTCAGGTTGACTCTCAGATAAAAATTGTGGACATTCGTTGGTGCACGCCTGCCGTTGCCACAGGGACATTCCAAGTTCATACAGGAGTCTTGAGTGTCAGGGACAGTGCGTTTACACAGTGCACTGTAATTACAAAAACATAATGCAGTTACACAACCCACAAACTAAGAATCATGAAGACTCCTCAATCTTCAATTATTAAAGACAAACAGAGGGAAACTTGACCATTCTCAATTAAGGGAGAGTCACACCGCTTTTTTCAATAACTTCAAGAATTTTTTTTTCATTGATGATCATGTTATTTTATTTTATATTTTATCATTTATTGAGCATCTTACAGTTTATTCTACAGTACCACAAGTACTTGATGGGAAATTTCAGAATTTTTTTTTCAATTTCTTCTTTATGTAATAAAAGTCTTAGTATGGTTTTTGAAATTTTCATTTTTCAATAACATTCATGTTCTATTCCATAGAAAGAGTTGATTAATTTCAAATTCCATACGATTGGAATTAAAATTTTTTTTATTAAAAGTAAATTTATAAATTTACTTTTAAAAATTTTAAAAGTAAATTTCTCGTAGAAAATTTACTTTCAAAATTTTCTATGAGAAATTAAAAAAAATTATAGTTCGATGGATATTTTCATCACAGAAAGCTCAACCAATAAACAAATTACAATAAATCTGGAAAATTATATTCAGAATTGTCCGATTCAATGAGCTAGTTCCTCTTCGGAAAATGGAATAGACCGCTGTAGAAAGAAAAGAGGAAGGGAGGGAACAGACTTTTAATTCCTCATTCACGTTATCTGAAGTTTTTTTACTTCTCTTATCGAAAGTCATCATTTTCGTTTTTTTCGATTCGTAAAAACTGCACTAGTCGTTCAATTTTCAATATTTGTCAACGAAATTTGTGTTGTGTCTTCCACATGACCCTCAACAAATCAGTCATACAGAATTTCAAATCACTCAATTTCTCGTGTTGAAAAAAAAACAATTTCATTGAAAAATGAAAAGTTTATGGTATTTCATGCCTACACTTTTTTTAATAAAGAAGAAATTTGTTAAAAATCGTAGAAATTTTCCATCAAATACTTCTGGTAGTTGAAAAAACTGGTGTGACCCCCCCTTAAATTTCTTCAAATTGTCTACCTACCATCGTGTGATGAGTATGTCTGACCCTTGAGCATTTTCCATATTAATTTCTGTGACTGTAGCATAAAGAATCGCGACAAATTGTATTCTGTCACCCCCTGTCGGCTGCTTCTTGTTCAACTTCTCTGATATCTCCTTGATAGTCATGACTGTTTTGATGTTTTCAGCTGAAAACAGAAGACATGAATGAGAAAAGTGAATCTCACGTAATATATCTGAATCCATATGATAATGAAGAAAGATAATCGTAATTACGTTTTGGCAGAATGAATGGATCATGAGAAATCGAGTCCATGTCAGTCTGACTGATGGAATTCCTGACTTTATCAGCTTGTGGCACATCAGGATCCTCTGTGATCACAGTCTTCCTAACGATCATCAGAGTCATCTTCTTCTTGAATTTATCCATTGTGACGAGTAGGTCTGACATGAAGAGAACTGAATGCTTGGGCTCCCAATTGGCAGATCTGCGAATCCACTCGTTTTCCCAGAGTTTGAATGCAACTCCATTATTTGTTGTTCCATCATTGACTTCGAAATCACGACAGACAAGGGCACGACCATCTTTCGTCATTAGATTTCGAGAGTCACTCACCTGAGTAATGAATTGTGCATTGACATGTATGAAAAAATGTCATGGATAATGCTCGGGCATTCGATGGAAAATTCTGTTGGATTTCTATTGGAATTCCATTGGACTTGTAGTATCTTTCATGGAAATAGTATATTTCGTAACGAGTGCAAAAAACATTTTTTCATGAGTTACGAACAATATTTTTCATCAGAATGTGGCGGAAATTGGACTTTTAGGCACGCGGGGCGTGCCGAAAAGTTCACTTTTCATCACAGCGTGATGAAAAATTTATTCCATAAAGAGAGAATGTCTGATAGAAACTATTTTGTTGAAAAAATCAATGGAATTAAATATTTCAGTACAACTTATCTCATTGAGATATTTCTTATAAAAATTGTTCTTATAATGAAGTGAAATCAATTTATTCAGGTTCACCACTTCATCTCTCAATTCGTTTTTTTTTATAAATATCTTTGGGTCCAAGGAAGATGAATGAATTTTCTGTTCTTGCAGGGTAAAATGAAAGTTTAAAAAAAGTTTCTAAGAAAATTGTTCTATCTCTGTTAGATCCTCCGATATTCTTTGGAGTTGAACAATGAAATTAATTCCTTTTATTTGACAACTTCATCAGTAATTTACCTTCTGATAAATATTTTCAGATCCACAGGAGGTCGCAAAATTTCGATCAGGAAACATGTGGATAATGGCATTTGTTTTATACTGAGTACAGTTATTGTTGCTAATAGATTAGTAATTTGTTTCCGAATGAGTCTCTCTTTTTTTAATTCTTACTTCACTATTTTCTTCTTTTATTTTTTCATGTCATAGTACTCTCATCAACTGAAATGCCATCAAAATTTTTGCGTATCATTTCGTTCTGTCAAATAATTCTACATTCAGACCCACTCAAGCCTCGAGTGAGTGTATAGCCGGGATTTAATTAGGGTTTATTCAGGATTTAGCCAGAGGTTAACTCAGGTTCTGTCTGAAGTTAGTCGGGACCATGAATCAATATGAATAAGTATTCAACATAATAGACTGGTACCTGAGTTTAATAGAGATAGAAATTTTCATATAAAAAGCTCATGACGGTATTGTGTAACTTGATAAACAATGATGCTGTTCTCGCCACTTTTCAACCTGATTAATAAGGCATTGAAATATACTTTCAAGCCCTGATTTAATTGCTATTACTGATGATTCTTTTAGTAATCATGAAAAAATCGATTTTCTCTTTCAAATCGCATAAACAATGTGGTGTAACTCAACAACGAATTGTGCGACCCCATCATATTCTGATAGGATCGAGAGGGTATTGTTATCAATTTTTTGAGCCATGATTAACTTCGTTTTGATGAACATTTTTTAAGCGATCGGTGAACAAGTCATTTTTGGGAAAATATCAATTTTTCCGAATCTGTATGAAAAATTGAATTTTAATTGCTGTCGCAGAATGGAGCTTATTACAGTCTATATTCATGGAAAAATTTATGAAATTCAATTGATCCTTTGTAAGAAAATTTACGAAAAAAAAGAAACAGGTAGACAATGGCACTTTTTAAATAAATGAGTATAGTAATAAATTTGCAATTAGCTTCCGAATGGGTTCACTTATTTACAAAAAAACGAAAAAAGACCACATAGGGGACGGTGGGGTAAAATGGACACTTTAGACTTTTTTAAAATTATTCGTAACTCAGAAACAAATTGATCAATTGAGCTCAGTTTAGGCTCGTCACAAAGGGAAAGAATTGTTTTTTGTATTGGAAAAAAAATTATTAAATTTTATCAACATTTCAAGCTCTCATTAACATTTTAAAAAAAGTCAAGTGTCCGTTTTACCCCAACTTCTCCTACATACATACACCATCTAAAAATTGCATAGTCCAACTTTCTAAGCCATATTTAGTTACACTAACACAAAAAATTAGAAACTTTAATTTGAGCAATTACAAAACTGCCATTCCTAAGCTAAAAATTCTACATTAAAGAAGGGAAAAAAAATTTATGAAATTAAATATGACATTACCTACGAAATTACCCATGAAATTACAAATTTTTTAAAATCCCTTTTAGATTTCCAAAAATTTACGAAAACCCATTATAAAAGTCATGTTGACTCATCTTTTTCTACCACATAATTGAATTTTTGAATATAAGAAAAATGTTCTCACTTACAAAGGTAACAGCAGCAAGTACATCCACATACTGATCCTGCAATCCCTCCATATTCTTCAAAATATCACTGAGACTCCTGGCCTTCGACACATTCTTCATTGGAACATGGAGCAGAGCTTCGTAAAGCTCTTTATTAGGGCTATCGTGAAGTTGAATCAGTGCAGCTCCCTCATTGACAACCAAATGGTGTCGGCTACTCGTAGTCGGCATGAATCTCTCGTTCTTCCCATCAGTCGGATAATCCTGGACTTTGGCATTGATGACTTCAACAACACACCCTATGGGGAATGACTCGTGCAACTTGCTGACGTATGTCTCACTCCCCCAGACTGTGATGTTTATGGTGTCATTTTCAGAGTCACGAAGAGTGAAGGTCCAGACTGCTCTGCGTCCAGGACGATCTGAAATTGTAATTCTCCATTTTCCGTTTCTCCAGTTATTTCGATTAGTTTTTTTCTACTTGACTGCATGAAATGTAGGAGTTTCAAGTCAAGCTAAGTCATCATCACAGGTGACTAATATTCGTTGATTCATTTCATTTGAAATTCATTATTTATATATCGACCATCTATGGACCATAAATAATGAATTTTGGAATGAAACAATCAGCGCGACAGAAACCATTTCACGGATTACATATACTGCTACGTATTTTTTTTTCTCCTACTTTCCTTTTTACCAATTTCATTGGTAGTAGACTTCCGAGTGGATCTCAATCTTTTTAAAAAATGAACACATAAGGATTACCATCAATTCTCTCCATTTTTCTGGACACTCCTTGACTATCCTAGGAATTTCTATCATTTTCGTGAGTGACAATCCTAACTACAAGCCAAAGTTTCAAAAGGTTTCCCTGAGTTTTACCCATGTCATAATGTGCAAAAGTGAATTCCAACCATAAAAATAGAAAAACGTAAATATCTCTAAACTTTTCAATGGGATGGTACACATATTTTGTAGGATCGAGATAGATGATATCAAGACGGATATTTTGAAAGAAAAAGAAATGAAATCGGACCAGTAGTTTTTGAGATATTGACCAAAAGAGTTCCACATACAAAGTTGAATATCTCCGAAACTAATGATCCGATTCCGTTCATCTACAATCCCAAACTTGGTTATCATAAGACCTAAAATCATACCAAGTTTCAAGTTTCTACCTCAATAATTTTTTAAGTTATCATGCATACAAGCAATTTCAACGAAAAAATGAAAAACGAAGATAAAACTACATTACTCGGGGTGGAACGGGTTTTTTTCGATCCAATTGAATAGGTATCATCACGACGAGTATTTTTTAAAAAAAATTGGAATCCGTCGCATGGTTAAGGAGATATCAGCAAAAAACTATTTTTGAGGAATCGCTATATCTCAGGAACCGCTCAACCGATCGAGCTGAAATTGAGCCCAAATTTTACTATCAGTAGTACCAATAGCAGCTAGAGTGTCAGCCTCTTTGCTTTCATCGTTCTCGAGTTATAGGGACAGTTCTGGACAACCGGACATGAATGTGGACACACATACAGACATTTTTTAAAAACATAATTTCTTCACGTTCCATGACATTTCTAGGCATTTCCACCGAAAATTAGGAAATCGAAGAAAATCATGATTACAAAGCTTCCATTCGGAAGCAAAAATCAAGAAATGAGAAATTGGGAATAAAATTTTAACACGAAATTTGAAAAAAAATCATTTTTGGATAAAATGGATCCGGGTCTCAGTCTAATGTTTTAATGTTTCGTAAAAATAGTCACTTTGGGTAACGAAAGAAAAAAAATTTCAATCAAGGTGGGGGAAGGGGGTACCATTCACAATTTTCTAGTTTTAAGTTTTTTAATTTTCCAGTCTTTTCAGACTTGTTTGCGAACGCTTTCGTTTTTCTCTCAGTGTAGTCTGTTCTTCTACGTTTCATCACTTCATTACTAATGCAATATACTGGAGAATGATAATTATGTGCAAAAATACAGTTGCAATATGAACAAACCACTTACATTTGGAGTTGACTTCGAAGGTCTTCACATTGGAGCTAGTGATGATGACCCCAACAACCAAAGAATTCTGGATATTCAGCTGAAGAGCATTAATCTTCTGGTGATAAACACTCGTCATTATCAGTACGTCCTCTTTGTTATCTCGTTCAGATTATGAATTACTAATTATTAAGTAGAACGATGGTTTCAGCAGGACTCGATGGAGAGACTGAGCAACTAGTCTTCTCGTCTCAGAAACAAAGAACTATATGCTTCAAACTGGCAGCCATCTTTGATTCTTGAATGGCGGAGAGCCAATGGGACTCCCCGAATACCAAATCTCTAATGCCATTGTTTAGGGAGACGAAGAACTGAAGAGCAAACTCATTGATTCAAGTAGTATGAATAAACTCCAATTGAGTTGTTTGATTGTAACGAGAAAAAAATTATTCAAAAAACCGAAAAAAATTATTCATCATTCATATTATTTCCCATTAATTTTAACTTTGATGAAGGTAGGACATTGATCCATTAAATTCATTTTTGAATGATTTTTTAACACAATAGTCTCTCGTTTGACTAGGGTGACAAAAATAATGAATGAATGATTTATTTCCTTTTGTATGGCATTACACCTTTTACAAAGGTGACATGAATAATTATTACTAGACATGAATTATTTATCATAAAAGTTCGACACTGGAGATCATTTTCATATTGGGCATGAAATTTTTATTGATTTTTTTCAGATTTTTTGAGATTTGTTAATAGTAATTTGTAATAGTTTTTAAGCATCTCCCTAACCTCAAAAAATTCATTTTCCATGAGACTGTATGTTATTCTTGCACTTCAAGATTAATTATTATCAATAATTGTTTCTATTCATTAGAAACAGTTAGAATTTATTTCAGATTTTCATCTTCAAAATTCAAGTTCTGTCTATACGTCTTTAAAATAGCATGAATAAGCTGCAGGTTAGTCGTTGAGTGTAACGAGGAAGAAATAAATTCAAAAAGCCTAAAACGATTATTCATCATTGATATTTTTTCCCATGAATTCCAACTTTGATGAGTGTAAGAAATTAATTTAGCAAATTCTTTCTTCAATTATTTTTTAAAACAGTTTCTCGTTTGACTAGGGTGTTGCGACATAACACGCCATTTTGTGCACGCAGAAACATGGATTATTTATTACAAAAGTTCGACATTGATGATAATTTTTATATTAGGCACGAAATGTTTATTCATTTTTTCAGATTTTTCCAGATTTTTTAATAGATTTTAATCTTTTCTCAAACCTCAAAAGGTTCATTTTCTTTTCAGACTCTGTCTTATTTTTGCACTTTTTCATTAGTTATTATCAGTAATACTAAACTGTTGTTTCTATCCATATTAACTTTCGTTTAGAGTTTCTTTCAGATTTTACTCTTCGAATTCAAGTTATGTTTATGCAACTTTAAAAGTATAGCAATGTAAAATAGTGTATTTTAGTACATTTTCGGGATAATGAAACGACTTGAAGAATATTTTTGAAAAATGTTGTGAAAAATTAATCACAAACTATATTAAAAAACCATAAAATTCAAAGTTTCAATGAAATTTCACATTTTCATCAGCAGGAAGACGAGAACTCTCCCACTTACTGGAATTTTTTAAATGAAAAAACATGAATATTTATCACCAAATTATCATGAATTTTCAATCCACAGAAAATTCGAAATATTGACTTGAATTATTACAATCGTCATAAATGGTAATTATTTAGGAAATAACAGATCTCAACAAATTCAAGAATTCAAAGCGTATGTCGATTTTATTAAGGCACTCTAGTTATTAAAAATTATAACAGTAAAACATGGAATCACAGAATATTTATAAATTTCAATTTCTTCCCTCATTATCTAGATAAATATATATTGTACTTATCTTACTCCCAGTACCGATATTCGAGGACGGGATTTATTAAGTAGATGAGCTATTACAATGATTAATTGATTCCTTAATCTGTGCTTGTCATCACTGCCGATAAAGCTAATGATTAGTCAAATAATACATTTTCGTTGAACAGGAAATTATCCCGATGATTAATTTGAAATAACATCCAAAATCGTCCATATTCGAAATAATTCAGTGATGAAGCGGTCGAATTATAGAATAACTTGATTTTACTTTAGAAAGTGTGACGTATTGAGATCGATCAATACGTCGATTTATTTAATAATTATAATTATTATGCCCAAAGTGGTGGACGATGGGAATGGGAAACGAGGTTTCTCATTCCCTTCATCCAAAGATTGCTCAGCAGTCCCACGGTGTCCCATGGACACCAGCGTAAGCAGTTCCACGGTTTTTACAGGTCCAGTTCAGGGTGCTGAACTGTTTGACTGTGTAGGTTTCTATATAAACGAATGCACGAAACCATATTAGTGTAGAAAACCGTGGGATTGCTTAGGTAAGCATTTTGGGGCTTTGACGAGTTTGGACGACTCGGGAAGCACCAGAGTACGTCAGAGTACGTTCGGGAGCTGGACAGAGAAGATCTCTGAGCTCAGGCCTTCAGCCAACCAAGAACCAAGTCAAGTCAAGGTCCCAAAGTCGAGTCAAGTACCGCGTTATACCGACCCATTAAACACTACCGTGTATAAAAAGAAGTTAATATATAATTATTTTACCCACATTAGTACGGTCGGTTCAATATCGCTAGCCCTCCCTCTATCCTTCACTTATCCCTCCGATTGAGCGAACCACCCGTGAGCTCACCGAGACTAGCCGAGGTCGGAGTGAAACAAGAGTTATTAAAGGACAAATTAACTCATTTCGTCACAAAAGAATTATTATTCAGAGAATATCTTGGAATCTGGATGATATAGCAAACTTTCTGAAGAGGATTTTTTATTGCTAATTCCATTATTCCTCTCAGATCCGGATATAAATATATCTCATAAATTTATGAAAAATTAAGCGTGGAGATTGATTGATTGTTATTAATGAACCACTTCACCACTGAATTCATAATTAAAACGTTGATTAAAATATTGAGTTTTGAGCTTTGTATTTCCTATGTCTATCTTATGTTTTGTACGTTAACATTCGCTGAAAAATTCTATTGGATTTCGATTGGACTTCTATTGAAAATTCTGGTAGTCTTTGGTCAATTCTATAGAAAAATTCAACGGCTTTTCTGCACATTCTCTCATTAAAATTTTCAATTGCTGATATCAATAGATTTTTCTATACAACTGATTACAACTTGCACAGTCTGAATTTTCCAAGTTACTTCGTTTGCACGGATGAAAAAATTCATTAGAAAAACCTAGCGAATTTGTTAGAAAATTCTACTGGATTTCTATTGAACTTTCTATTATTTTTTGGCTGATTCTATTGAAATGCTGAAGAGAAAAGATTCAATAGAAAATGTCAATATAATTCGATTTTTCTACATGACTTATTCTCTTCAGATACTTTCTTTTCTTCTCATCAAGAAAATCAAACAAAAAACCTTCTAAAATTTAAGCCGAAGAAATTCTCTGCAGAAAATATCTCAATAGAATAAGTTATATAGAAAAATCAAATTGTATTGACTTTTTGTATTGAATATGTTCTATTTAACATTTCAATAGAATCGGCCAAAGCTAATAAAAAGCTCCACCGAAATCCAATAGAATTTTCTATCGAATTCGCTAGGTGTTTGTTTAAAAAAAATTCGTGCATTTCTGTTCAATGAAAAATATTCCATAGAAAAAATGTATAGAATTTGATTGTTCTCTGTCATTTATTCCATCAAGTATGAGGTATTTTTTTTATAGAAAACCCTCGGATCAAGTTTTGAACATTTGTCATTTGATTTTTCAAATGAAAAAAACAGAAAAATTGAAGGGAAAAAAATGAAAAAAAATCATGTCGAGTAATTTCTCTAAAAAATATTTGAATTGAAAAAGTTGTAGAGAGATTCTACTGATTTTCCTACAAAATAGTTTCAATTCGACATTTTCTATTAAAACTTGCAGTGAACTCACCAAATTATTCAAACTAATAGAATTTTCCATGGAATTCGTTAGGTCTTTCTGTAAAACTTTTTCGTGCGTTTCTTTTCAATGGAAAATATTCCATAGAAAAAATGTATAGAATTTGATTGTTCTCTATCATTTACTCCATTAAGATTAAGGTATTTTTTTATAGAAAATCCTCGGATCAAGTTTTTGATATTTGTTATTTGATTTTTCCAATGAAAAAAGCGGAAAAATTGAAGGGAAAATACTCAAAAAAATCATGTCGAGTAATTTCTCTAAAAAATATCTGAATAGAAAAAGTTGTAGAGAGATTCTACTGACTTCCAAACAAAATAGTTTCAATTCGAAATTTTCTATTAAAACTTGCAGTAAACTTACGAAATTATTCAAACTAATAGAATTTTCCGTGGGATTCGTTAGGTCTTTCTACAAAATTTTCGTGCGTTATCTCAATATTACTCGACCCACATACTGTCATTCCCCAGTAATTAAAAGATTCCAAACAATCCCAAATACCCACAGCATTCTCTACCACACAAATCATCTCACCATCGTAGACACTTACAACATACATCTCCCCCCCCC